AGGACCTCATTATAACTTGGTAAAGATCCTCCCCAAAAACAGTCATATTCTGAGGTACAGGGGGCTTAGGATTCTTTTAAGGGAACTCAATTCAAACCATAACAAGAGATAAGGGTCAGGGGAAAAAAGAGCCACAGAATGCTAGCATTTTTTAATGAGCCAATAAATCCTTGCTAGAGGATCACCAAGGTTAGTAAATGAGCAAGCCGGCTTGTGAACACAGCATTATACCAGACACAAAGCACAGCTATGAAGAAATCAAAGGCACATCTGTGCTCTTCTTCCCTCGAGAAACGTTTAGTGTAGTCGCGGAGTCTCAGTAAGGTCATGTAACAGGTAAACAATTTCCTCTGCACACACTCAGAAATGCAAACATGTCATTTCAGTCTCTTTTAATTAGACCTAATCAAGCATCCAACCAGACAAGCTATCATTCCGTCAGCGTTCGCCCTTGGTGGGTTTTCTGAGGGGTCCACAGCCCCTCCAGAGATTTCTCCACTGTGGCATCCTCTGCATTACACTTCAAGGCTGTTTGGGACCACAGCCCTCTCCAGGCACCAAGAAGCTCCAGTTTGAACCACTTTTGGATTCCAGATGATTCAGAGCCTGGTAGGCTTTCTGTCCTGGCACCCCACCTAGTGGCAAGGGACATATCTGCAAGGCTGCTGTCTCAGAATCCCACGAAGTCTTCTCTACTCCCAAACCAAAGTTTTTCTAGAAGGAGGGAACTCTCAGGGGGGAGTTTCATAAGAAGAATACAGATTTAGGGAAAAGACGGGGACAATATTTCATTCGGGACAGTGGCAGAGACATAAGTACGTGTATAGAAATGAACTCTGTACCAAGGATAACACACATAGCCACTTATTAAGGACAGAACAGCTCAAGGTAAAGAAAACGAAAAACAGGCTAATGGACAGTGATCATAGGCGGCTGAAAGAGGCGGACCAGGTCTACGTGGTCTGCCCACCCACCAGGAGGCCGGCAATATTCTAAGCGCCCAATATTTATAGTTCCCTTGACCTCACAGCACCCCTGTTTTCTAGATGAGGAAACTGAGGTTCAAGACAATTAAGTCATGTCTCCCAAGGCCATAGCTGCTGCATAGAAGAGTTGGGATCTGAACTAGGTATGACCGAGCAAGATAATGGCATGAGGAAGACAGTACCGCAGAGCATGTTGGGAAAAGACGGGACAGAGAAAACAGCTAAGACGACATTACGGCAATCCAAATTTGGTTTGAGGCGGTGGCTTCAGAAATGAAAAAGGACAGGAAAGTTTGGTGACATGTAGAGGTTCAAGGCAAAGAGGAGAGAAGAAATAAAAATGGCAAGCCTCTAAATCATGGCAACCAGACAGAAAAAAAGGGGAAAAGATGGTGGTTTAGGGGAGGCTCCGAAGAAAAGCCTGGGGGTCAGCAGGGAAAGGCTGGAGAGAAGGTGATCTGGCTTCCAGATACATCAAGTTCTCGTAGTGATGTTTTTTGAAACGGGCTCAGAGCCCCTGCGAGTTTTAGGCAGCCCTGATGCCATCTCTAGGATGCCCCCACTGCTTCGCAGCCGTGATCAGTGCAGACTGATTACTTTTGCTACAATTGAAGATGCACAATATTTCAGCGCCTTCTAGAATATAGGATATAGGACCAGGTCATGAGACGTGAAGCGGCACAGGGAGCCACTTACTGTAAGACACTTATCACTCAGCCCCGGAGGGCTCAAAAAAAGGGTAGTTCCTAGACTGTGGGGGAACTAGGCTTTGTGAGGGAGCACAGTCGGAGAGCAAGCAGTTCTAGTCAAAGCAAAAAGTGACTAAGTGTGTAGTGGGCTGACTACTGGCCGTTTCCTATGGAGGCGTTACTGAGTCGTACTCATCAGTAAAGTGGTGTTTGGAGTGTATTACTCCCTTTGACTGTGCTGCCAAAAATTCTAGCATTCGAAAGTGCGACACAAACAAGAATTTAAAATCTGCTAGAGGCTGAAAGGACCTCGAGGGGGGCCCCTTGGGCAGTCCACGTACATTTCCACCCTTCTGTGTCCAGGCAGAGGTCCGGGTCCAGCAGCAATCCTGTGTCTAAAAGGACAGGAACTGGCCTACCTTCCTTCTTTAAACAACTTCCTTACATAGACTACTCACCTCAAGCCTGAGTATGGCTACCAGTGAATCCAGCTGTTCCTAAACAGTCGAAACATTTGGGAGCCAAGAAAAAGACTAATCCAGCAGAGAGTTCTTTCGGGGAAGTTTGGTATGTCCCCGTGTTACTAGGGAGGACCACAAGGCCCAACAGGAACTGACTTCTTCTCCCTCCCATCCCTCCCACCTTCCCTCTTCTACAGCTTCCATTCCCTCCATCTCCCTGGATCTCTCCATAGCCTCATAGGGACTGACGCCAGCTCCCTCTCCATCCCCATCCATCATCCTCTACACCTCTCTGCTCCGGCTTTGTATGAAGGCATTTCTGTTCCCTCTCCATCCACAACCGTGCCACCTCCCTGTGATTCTCTGGTCCATTTTACATCAACTAACTTCAGCTCCCTCTCCTTCCGAACGCCCAGCCCAACATAGAGCGCCCCTCTCACTCTCCAGCCCCCCCCACACACCCCTGTACTTCTCTACCCCAGCCTCAGGAACTAACCTCTGCTCCCATTGCCCTCAACTCCACCTGCATATCTCTGGTCCAACCCCACGTGAAGGTATCTCTGCTCCCTCCTCCTCCCCTCCCCCCCAACTCCCATGGAGCTCTCTGGTCCATGCTCACATAAACCGATATCTGCATGCTGTATGTCAAAATTTCACCCCCACTCCCCTACATCTCTCTGGGCCACTCCTACATCAACTGACCTGTGTACCATTTCCCTCCCCGGCACCCCTGATTCTGGCACAGCTCTCTGCTAGGGATGGGCATGAACTAATACCTGCTCCCTCCTCCTTCCCAATATCTCCAAGCCCCTCTAGCTCTGGTTCATCTGCAGTGAACTAAACTTTGTCCCCCT